CCTGGTCCCGAGGTCCGGAAGCCTCCCAGCGCGGCCCAAACCGTCAGCCATCTTATGCCGCCTCCCGCTGCTCGCGGGAAGAGGGGTGCGTGGACGCCGCCCCGCTGCCGCCGGGTAGTCTGGCAACCTGGGTTCCCCGACGCTGCGGTCGGCGGTGTCGCGCGCCGCACCCTCCTCCGCTGAGTTCTTGGCCTGTTCCCGTGCCGCATGGACGTTACAGAGACTCGAGTTGGGGAAGTGTCGAGAAGAAATGGAGAAAACACATTTTGTGCTTCATTATTAAATCTTATCTAGTCTGGGTCATGACAAAAGTGGCTTTAGTGGTTCCCGTTTTGCCAGCGGAGCCGAGTGGCTCAGGGATCGCCCCATCCCAGCCGCGTTGGAGGCGGAGGTTCAAACCTGTGTGTTAATCCAGTCCCCAAATCGAGGAAGCTTGGAGTCCAGTCCCCGGCGCCAGTGTCCCAGGTCAAGTAGTGAGTGTCCAGGGCTCAGCTGAGGAGACATTAATAAATGAAATAATACCTTAGAACTGAAATTTATTTATTTTTTTGGCGGAACCGGGGATTGAACTCAGGCCTCTGCGCTTGCCAGGCAAGCGCTTATTCCACTGAGCCATCTCCCCGGGTCCTAGAACTGAAATTTAACGTTATTAATAAAAGTACAGAAATAGAAGTGATGATGGGGCCGGGGAGATGGCTCAGTAGAATAAGCGCTTGCCTCGCAAGTGTGAGGGCCTGAGTTTAATCCCCGGTTCTGCAAAAAAAAAAGAAAGAAAGAAAGAAAGAAAGAAAGAAAGAAAGAAAGAAAGAAAGAAAGAAAGAAAGAAAGAAAGAAAGAAAGAAAGAAAGAAAGAAAGAAAAGAAAGAAAGAAAGAAAGAAAGAAAGAAAGAAAGAAATAGAAGTGATGGTCCACATTTGCTTAGTGATGCAGCATTAGTATGTGCTCCAGAGACTTTAAGTCTCCAGAGGCAAAATGTTCACATCTTTGAAAATCATACATTCCTGTAATCATAGTGACACAAAAAAAATTATGTCGGTGGATGACCTCCAAATGATATAGGGGAAAAAATGAAACTCTCAACCTGAAAGCTACCTGGGACGAGTTCATGTTTCCTGAAATCAAAGAATGAATTTTAGGAACAAACGGAGGTTATGAGTAGAATATATTTACTGAGGGAAAGAGAGCTCCTGTCCAAGAGAGACAGAAAGGGGGCCCCCAAGCAAGGTGGTCTCTGGGAAGCTGTCTCTTCCAAGGACTTTTATAGAGTAAAACCATGCGGTGAGGCGGATCTAAGGCGGTGGAGAACATGGAAACTCAGTTTAGGTGAGCATGAGGTGGGACAAAACTATGGTCAACCAATGAGATTGCGAGCACCATTGCTCAGGTAAAATTGATAAAATCCAGTACCAAAAGCGGGTCATTCAAGCAGGCATGAATATGGGACAGGGTCTCTTCCTGTTGGGGGTTGGGTTAGTGACTCATTTGGGCTCTTTTAAGGTGATTGATACCTTTTTTTTTTTTTTTTTGCCAAACCGGGATTGAATTTAGGCCCCTGTGCTTGCCAGGATACCTATTTAGAATATCAATCGCTGATGCTCTTCCCTAGGGAAGTATGTAGCTCTATTTGTTTCCTCTTTTATCTTGAGGTCTGGCCCACACGGGAGTGTCTGTCTCTTCCAAGTCAAAAAGTCACCTTGTCATCCATCTGGTCTCCTTAAGGGCCTGGCCCTGTCTGACTGTCTATAATGATTCTATCTACAACAGTAGCACAAAGAAGGCAGAAGCAACAGGATGTCTGAGTTTGAGGTCAGCCTGAGCTACATAGTGAGTTCAAGGACAGGCTGAACTAAATAACTAGAACCTTCCTCAAATAAATAAATAATCATGTATTAAAAACAGAGGTTGAGGCCAACTCGGTCTACTTTACAGTGTAAAGTTCAAAACCAGCCCTGGGCTACCTAAGGAGAACCTGTTTCAAAAAACAAAAAAGTCCTCCAAGGCTGGGGCTGTAGGTCAGTGGTAGAGTGCTTGGCTAGCATGCAGGAATCTTTGGGTTTTCCAGGACTACAAAATAAATAAATCAGTAGCTATAGTTAGATATCCACCATAAAATTTTTCTCTGGAATTTGTAAGGGAAGGATTTGGAGTTGTTGTTGCAGAGTCTCACTACGCAGCTCAGATTCCTGGTGATCATCCTGCTTTCAGCCTCCCCAGCGATGGGATTACAGGTATGAGCTCCCATGCCCATCTCAGCCCCTCCTGTGGGGGAGGCTGGCGCTAGTATGTAGTCCAAGGAATGGAACCAGGGTCCCTGACACTTGCCTAAGCCGGCATTTTAGTCCGCTGAGCTATCTTACCCGGCCTGAGATTTGGGGTTTTTGTTTTTTGGGTTTTTTTTGTGGAACCGGGGATTAAAACTCAGGCCCTTGCACTTACCAGGCAAGTGCTTATTCTACTGAGCTATCTCCTCAGCCCCGAAATATGGAGTTTTAAATAGCTGGGACCCTAGAAAAGTTTCATCAGTTTGCTAGGAAAAAGGACTTACTGTAATTTGCTTAAGTCACTACTACATTAACACAATGGTTGAGTAAATGTATGTCTGATTGCTTGAAGCTTTGTATCTTTGTCTCACACATGCTAGATGTGTTTGGGAAGCCCTCTATCACCAAGTTATATCACAGCCCCTGAGAGTCTACTCCAGCAGCTAAATCTTTTCTTTTTCTTGTTAAGTTTACTGGTACTTTTTTTTTTTTTTTTTT